AAGATTGCATTGTCATCAGTTTCTAGGCTATCCTGAAAGTTTCAGCTTGATAGCTAGTCAGGAAGTGAGTGAAATTTGAGTTTCAAAATTTGATCCGGACAAACAGACAGACAAGAAAGTGAGTTCATAAAAACATGGTAAAAAATCACCAACAAATTGAATGTTTTTTCTGCCAAAGATGTCTGAACCAGTGAATTTGAAACAATGAACTAGTAAAATTGTTCTGAGGTCTTTTGGACAGGAAACGACTCATACAATACATCCATTTTTAAATGTGGCCTTTTTGCACATTGAAAGTCCAGGTGACGTAGAAAAGCTGATCAAAAAGGAAGCCACAATTTTGAAATATTTGCGTCGTTCGTTTTTTTGTAGGAGCAATTCAAACGATGCCAAAAACGGGGGCCACTCGGTGAAAAATGTGTTGGCTGTTGAGATAATGATTGAAAATGTTTTTAATTCTAAAACGATGGCCTGTTCAATTATTGACGATCCTCGCAAAAACCGGAATATTTGTGCAAATTTTTAGAATGAAGACATTTCCGGTTTTTTCATCAATTGTTTTCTACTGAATGAAAATTAGGTAATAATTCGCATGAAATCATTCATCCATTTTTCTCTGCCTCTGATCGATTTTTGAGGAACCACATGCAGTACACGATTTTTAAAAGTATAATTTGTCCTTCGCAGCTATAAAGTTATAATTTTTTTGCTCAGATGTCGCTCCAATACGTTGTACAGTATCCGGGTACTCCATTTAAGAAACCCTCGTCTGGTTGAACGAAAAGGCGGAATGCTTTCAATGGAGTCACTTGAAATCTCAACACTCATGAATAACGAAGGGAATCGAAAGCAAAAACAATGCCGAGACTTTTTGAGAAGCCCCCCGTATGGCTTTTATTTCTTCTTCTCAATCCGACATTTTTTTTTTTTTCGTTTGTGTTTTTCTCGTTGTGCTTCTTCTTAATGTTTCTGAGCAAGAGGTTATTTTTTTTGTTCTTCCTTTTCTCAACTTCACCCTGTTGGCGTTATGTCTTCTTGACTCGCTGTAAGTAGCTTGCTTGCTTGATCTGGGAAGGGCGAGAGGACTTTTGACAGGTGGGCGTGAATTTTCGAGAATATGTGCGCGTGAGGAAATAATAATATTCGCTGGTCTTGCCTCGGGATTTTCTCTCTCCCTCTCCCCTGTTCTTTATTTCTGGATGGATTTTCTGCCGTGTCCAAATTTTTTTTTTTTTTCTAATGACGCGAGGGGTTGTACTGCAAGTATTGTCAATTTTGCCTGCGACTTGAAAACAAAAAATGATACCGCATTCACTGTGGGGCCACGCGCAAATATTTTCCGCAAGAAATGAAGTAATTATTTAAATTTTTTAAATAAATGAATTCAAATAATAACAGGCTTCTCACACAACATACAAATTAACTCTGTTGTTTGGGGGTTCACTGTATATCAAACCCAGGTGAAATCCCCATTTCTTTTCACGGTAGATTACCATTTGCACAATCCTGAAAGAAAATGAAATTTCCTAGAAGAACCAATTCTCATAAAAATTAACCTTCACTTAGGCCAGGAAAATGTTTGAAACCAAATTTAATGATTTTTGTTTTAAAATGTATACCTTATTGATTCAGGTATGCGTTTTGGTGCCTCATTAAAAAGTAACTAAAATTTCACAGATCTGTCAAATTTTCCTATGTTAAGCATGTAGACATGGCAAGTCATACTCAATAATGCGCATTTTCTACGAATTTTTAAACTATTGGAGGGTTTCATGCTTTAAACACATTCGGTGAATTTTAAAGAAGTACTGTACGGTACAGTAGCTTTTCTGAGGTAAGAAGGAATTTTAAAAATGTACTGTGTACGGTATTTTGACCCAAATTGAACTGACAGATGAAAAAATGCAACACACAATTGCATTCAAATTTTACTAGCCTTTATTTCAAATGTAGTAATTTTTTTCTTTGAGATAATGAATTTTTTTGTTAGAGAAAACAGAATTGCTCGTCTTTTAATATGATGCTTGGTACTTGAATAATGATGGCGAATAAAAAATACTGTATATATATTATTTTGAGTATAAGCCGGCCTTCTTTCCTTATTTCAACCTAATTTCAATTTTCATTATTTAAAAAAAGTAAGAATCCATTGGAATCACGTTTAGAATCGACGCTGTTCTGGTTGGCGCAATTTGTGCAAAATAAAAAAAAATAGAACTTGTTAAAACTTTATGTCATGCAGAGCTTCTTTAAGGTACCACACTTTTTTCCGGAAACTCTCCTAAAATAGCATCTTATGTAAAATCGTTACTGTTTTTAATCAGAGTCACACAAAATCATTCTATAATGTCTTGACTTGAGAAGTATCGTTGATTCCTTGAGCTGTGAGTTTTACGTGTGAATTTTTAGGATTTTATCGTAGAATACATTTTAGCAATGACAAAAATTAGTCTCAGTGTCAAAATCATTCTATAATGTCTTGACTTGAGAAGTATCGTTGATTCCTTGAGCTGTGAGTTTTACGTGTGAATTTTTTTTTCGATAGAAGCTGTCCAAAAAAAAGAGAGACAACATTTTAGTTACTGCCCCTTTTATGGTGGATGCAGTGATTCGGGGGTTGTTTCATAATCCCGAGATTTATCGTCTTCATCCCCTCTCTGTGTTATTCTTTTTCTTTTCTCGGTGGGTGTATCAAGTGATTAGAGGCTGGATTATACATAAGAGGAAGCAGTTTGTGGCTCTTCCAAGTTTGGATGAAGGCTTGACGAAGATGTTCAGGCCCTTCTCGTTCTCCGTGATTTTATATTTTACCGATGCAAGTTTTTGATTGAATACTGAAACAAATTATGGGGATTTTTCGTCCGTGAAAAAATTGATTTTTAAATTGCAAACTTAAATCTTGATGGAAATTTGAAAAGGTCGACAGAAAATGGAAATTTTGTATTCAATTTTATTTGTCGTGTCACATTTTTTGTGAGACGGGTTTTTTTCAAGTGCAGCAGAAATTTTTGAAATGCTTTTGGCAAAAATCGGGATGGAGTGAAAAAGACCGCTGAAATTTGCTCGCAGGAAAAAATATATATAGCATATTCTAACTGAGCGTGGTTTTTTCAAAATCACAGAAATATTGAAAAATGACGAAGAATGAGAAAATTTGAAGCGAGTAATCGAAATGTTTTGCCACATTTTCAAAATCGCATGCGTGACGAATTCTGAAAGCGTTGCGCGAAGTGACGTATTCCTGTCATTTTTATATTACTCATCATTATAAAATTTGGTGAATAATATTTAGTTGCTGATTTTAAGTTTTTTTCTTTCTTTTGTTACAGAAGGAGAGAGCAGGAAGAAAAGGTGGAGCTCGTGTGAGAAAAAGCTAGTCTCAACCGGTTGCCAAGACCCACAGGAAGCGCGCAAAGATGAGGAGCCCAATGGCAACGAAGATGTTTCGTCCAAGGTTTGATTTCTTCTTCTTTTTCATCGTCCTGGAAACTTGATATTTTCATATGCTCCGAAACTGATCAGGAGGTATTTAAAAAAATATATAATGATGCTGTGATAATAATTGATGCGAAATTGGAGAAATTTGTGATTTATTTTTGCGCAAAAATATCCGAATTTGGCCTGAAAGTGATTTCCTGGTGGAAATTCATCTCTAAAAAAATCAGCTTTGTGCTCTTTCTTTGAAACAGTCGAGATTTTTTGTCCCAAGGTTTATTTTTATTTTTTTCATAATCAAGACTATATTTTTCTAAGCTGATCCAGAGAAGTACAAGAAAATAATTAAAGCAAATTTGAAGAAAGGAGGGAACTCTTCTTATTTTTTTCGTAAAAATGTCCGAAAAATATCTCATGTCTCCAACTCAACGTTCGAACTCCTGAAATAAATCCTCTCTGGAAACTCATTTCAAAATAAGCTCTCTCTCTCTCTCTTGAAAAAGTTTGTCAACCTCTGTACTACTGTTTATCAAGCATGTTAATTTCATCTTTTTTACTGTCCATCGATCTGATAATAAAGGCAATTTCTGAATGACCAGGTCGGTACTGAAGATGTTGGCACTAAATCGGGGTTTGACTGTACAATATTTGATGCGAAATTGGAGAAATGAGTGAAATCCGTTCGATTTATTTTTGCGCAAAAATATCCGAATTTAGCCCGAAAATGATTTCCTGGTGGAAATTCATATAAAAAAAATTAGCTTTGTGCTCTTTCTTCGAAGCAGTCGAGATTTTTTGTCCAAGACTTTTTTTTTCATAATGAAGACTATATTTTTCTAGGGTGAATCAAGAGAAATATAAGAAAATAATTAAAGAAAAATGGAAGAAAGTAGGGAAATCTTTTTTATTTTTTGCGTAAAAATGTCCGAAAAATATCTCATGTCTGCAATTAAACGTTCAAACTCTTGAAATAATTTCCTTGTGGAAACTCGTTTCAAAAAGAGCTCTCTTTCGTGAAATGGGTTGTCAACCTCTGTACTACTGTTTATCAAGCATGTTAATTTCATCTTTTTTACTGTCCATCGATCTGATAATAAAGGCAATTTCTGAATGACCAGGTCGGTACTGAAGATGTTGGCACTAAATCGGGGTTTGACTGTACAATATTTGATGCGAAATTGGAGAAATGAGTGAAATCCGTTCGATTTATTTTTGCGCAAAAATATCCGAATTTAGCCCGAAAATGATTTCCTGGTGGAAATTCATATAAAAAAATTCGCTTTGTGCTCTTACTTTGAAACCGTCGAAATTTGTTGTCCAATTTTTTATTTTCTTCATAATAAAGACTATATTTTTCTAGGCTGAAGCAAGAGAAATACAAGAAAATAATTAGAGCAAATTTGAAGAAAGGAGGGAACTCTTTTTATTTTTTGCGTAAAAATGTCCGAAAAATATCTCATGTCTACAATTAAACGTTCGAACTCCTGAAATAAATCCTCTCTGGAAACTCATTTCAAAATAAGCTCTCTCCTGAAAAAAAGGTTGACAACCTCGTGTCCTACTGTTCATCAAGCATGTTAATTTCATCTTTTTTACTGTCCATCGATCTGATAATAAAGGCAATTTCTGAATGACCAGGTCGGTACTGAAGAAGGACGGAGGAAGCGGAAGAGTGAAGATCAAGCCGGAGAAACGTCGACAGGAACGAAAAGTTTCCGAATGGATTGTGCCGTAGGTCATGAAGAAGAAGGATTTTATCGTAGAATACATTTTAGCAATGACAAAAATTAGTCTCAGTGTCAAAATCATTCTATAATGTCTTGACTTGAGAAGTATCGTTGATTCCTTGAGCTGTGAGTTTTACGTGTGAATTTTTCTTCGACAGAAGCTGTCAAAAAAAAAGAGACGAAATTTTAGTTACTGCCCCTTTTTATGGTGGATGCAGTGATTCGGGGGTTGTTTCATAATCCCGAGATTTATCGTCTTCATCCCCTCTCTGTATTATTCTTTTTTTTCTCGGTGGGTGTATCAAGTGATTAGAGGCTGGATTATACATAAGAGGAAGCAGTTTGTGGCTCTTCCAAGTTTGGATGATGGCTTGACGAAGATGTTCAGGCCCTTCTCGTTCTCCGTGATTTTATATTTTACCGATGCAAGTTTTTGATTGAATACGGAAACAAATTATGGGGATTTTTCGTCTGTGAAAAAATTGATTTTTAAATCGCAAACTCAATCTTAATGGAAATTTGAAAAGGTCGACAGAAAATGGAAATTTTGTATTCAATTTACGGTAATTTGTCGTGTCACATTTTTTGTGAGACGCGTTTTTTTTTCATGTGCAGCAGAAATTTTTGAAATGCTTTTGGCAAAAATCGGGATGGAGTGAAAAATACCGCTGAAATTTGCTCGCAGGAAAAAATATTTATAGCATATTCTAACTGAGCGTGGTTTTTTCAAAATCACAGAAATAATGAAAAATGACGAAGAATGAGAAAACTTGAAGCGAGTAATCGAAATGTTTTGCCACATTATCAAAATCGCATGCGTGACGAATTCTGAAAGCGTTGCGCGAAGTGACGTATTCCTGTCATTTTTATATTACTCATTATTATAAAATTTGGTGAATAATATTTAGTTGCTGATTTTAAGTTTTTTTCTTTCTTTTGTTACAGAAGGAGAGAGCAGGAAGAAAAGGTGGAGCTCGTGTGAGAAAAAGCTAGTCTCAACCGGTTGCCAAGACCCACAGGAAGCGCGCAAAGATGAGGAACCCAATAATGGCAACGAAGATGTTTCGTCCAAGGTTTGATTCTTCTTCTTCTTCCTCTCCTTTTTCATCGTCCTGAAAACTTGATGTTTTGCTATGCTCCGAAACTGATCAGGAGAAATTAAAAAAATATATAATGATGCTGTGATAATAATTTATGCGAAATTGGAGAAATTAGTGATTTATTTTTGCGAAAAAATATCCGAATTTGGCCTGAAAGTGATTTCCTGGTGCAAATTCATCTTTAAAAAAATCAGCTTTGTGCTCTTTCTTTGAAACAGTCGAGATTTTTTGTCCCAAGGTTTATTTTTATTTTTTTCATAATAAAGACTATATTTTTCTAAGATGATCCAGATGAATACAAGAAAATAATTAGAGCAAATTTGAAGAAAGGAGGGAAATCTTTTAATTTTTTGCGTAAAAATGTCCGAAAAATATCTCATTTATGCAATTAAACGTTCGAACTCTTAAAATAATTCCCCTGTGGAAACTCATTTCAAAAAGAGCTCTCTCTCTCTCTCTCCTGAAAAAAGGTTGACAACCTCGTGTCCTACTGTTTATCAAGCATGTTAATTTCATCTTTTTACCGTCCATCTGATAATAATGGCCATTTCTGAATGACCAGGTCGGTACTGAAGATGTTGGCGCTAAATCGGGGTTTGACTGTACAATATTTGATGCGAAATTGGAGAAATGAGTGAAATCCGTTCGATTATTTTTGCGCAAAAATATCCGAATTTAGCCCGAAAATGATTTCCTGGTGGAAATTCATCCTTAAAAAAAATCAGCTTTGTGCTCTTTCTTTGAAACAGTCGAGATTTTTTGTCCAAGGTTTATTTTTATTTTTTTTTTTCATAATAAAGACTATATTTTTCTAAGATGATCCAGAGAAATACAAGAAAATAATTAGAGCAAATTTGAAGAAAGGAGGGAAATCTTTTTATTTTTTGCGTTGAAATGTCCGAAAAATGTCTGTCTGCAATTAAACGTTCGAACTCCTGAAATGAATCCTCTCTGGAAACTCATTTCAAAATAAGCTCTCTCCTGAAAAAAGGTTGACAACCTCATGTACTACTGTTTATCAAGCATGTTAATTTCATATTTTTAGCGTCCATCTGATAATAATGGCAAATTTCTGAATGACCAGGTCGGTACTGAAGATGTTGGCACTAAATCGGGGTTTGACTGTACAATATTTGATGCGAAATTGGAGAAACGAGTGAAATTCGTTCGATTTATTTTTGCGCAAAAATATCCGAATTTAGCCCGAAAATCATTTCCTGGTGGAAATTCATATTAAAAAAAATTAGCTTTGTGCTCTTTCTTCGTAGCAGTCGAGATTTTTTGTCCAAGACTTTTTTTTTTCCATAATGAAGACTATATTTTTCTAGGCTGAATCAAGAGAAATATAAGAAAATAATTAAAGAAAAATTGAAGAAAGTAGGGAAATCTTTTTTATTTTTTGCGTAAAAGTGTCCGAAAAATATCTCATGTCTGCAATTAAACGTTCGAACTCCTGAAATGAATCCTCTCTGGAAACTCATTTCAAAATAAGCTCTCTCCTGAAAAAAAGGTTGACAACCTCGTGTCCTACTGTTTATCAAGCATGTTAATTTCATCTTTTTTACTGTCCATCGATCTGATAATAATGGCATTAAAGACTTACTGGTCCAGCCATGACTTCTTCCTGCCTCCTTCGCCTTCTCACTTCTAGTTCGGCCTCTTTGCAGCTGTCCTTGCTTTTCAAAGGCTTACCTAACACGGCATCCAGTACTTCTTCTAGATGATGATGATGATGACGATGACGACGACGAGAACGGAACACCTTCTTTTCTGCAAGATCCGAATGCATTCATGGCACAGCAGGTTATTGACCTTTTCAGCTAAAATTACATGAAGCAATTTATCGGCTTGATCGCGGTACGAAAAGAGTGGTTTTTTTTTTTCGAGTACGGTTCACAGTATCTTGAGATCAAATTGTTTGAATACCCGTTGATTTCCCGTATTTCGAGTCCTTATTCACGCCTCAGTGGTATCATATGGTACCACGACTTGAAGCCTGTGGTTCTGTTCATTTACTTAAGATTTAGAAAAAACATTACCTCCCTTATTTGGGCAATGATTCTTCATCTTAAAACGGTCTTCCTACTCTTCCATATTCAACATCGTAAACAAAATGAAAAATTTCCGAAATTACATATTTTAACGCCTTTTCATTATTGAAACATTTTCGCAGGAACTGATTTTTTCAATTATTTCTAGTATTTAGAAGCTCTTGGACCTCTAGCTAATTCCTCTAAAATTGCCGCTAAACCTTATTTCTATAAACTGAATGTGATACATTTTTGAATCCTTGTCTTTACTCCATTTCTACGTTGATGAGCAGAAATTTGTGCAATTCCGTGTAACGCTGCAGAAATTAGTTGATCTCCATCAATCTTCCCGGAAGGAAGCACGAGACTGGCGAAATTTATGAACTAATCCTTGAATTTTTTTTCCGTATGTCATCGTGCTGATTGCGTAAATTATTTTTGATTAAAATTCCGAAGTACTGTATTTGAGCGTATTTTTAATGTGCCTACTCACATGGGTCAGGTCAGATCAGGTGATCCATTCCCTGGGCACCGAATTATCTTGCTTATCAGAAATAAAATAATAAAGCTACGAAATCTTTGTTCTAACCCATTTTCCTTTCTTCTTCATTCAGGTTGCGATGGTAAATCGAACCCTGATGGCCGGGAGCGACCTCTTGTCTCCACCGGTGGCATCATCATCATCACCATCCGCCTGCATCTCCTCGTCTTCCTCCTCGGCAACAACCATCATCACTGCGTCGTCTTCGGCGTCACCTTTCTCTCGTCGTCCAGAGTCTGCCGGTCCTCAAGTACCTTCTTCTGCTTCTTCCTCGTTGTCGTCTTCATCTTCCTCATCGTCAAGCGCCACGACTGCTTGCTCGTCTTTCGCCAACCTCCGCTACGAGTCTGGCCAATTTTGGTCGGCGCCGAATTCCGTGTCGGCCGAGTTCTCGCCGCCGCCGCTCGTCTACGACGCCCCCGTCGCCACCTCGTCTCCGAATCATCATCACGGCGGCGGCGGCGGTATCGCCATTGAGGAAGTGGAGAAGGAAGGCATGAGAAACGACGACGACGACGATGATGATGACGACGAAGACGAAGGCAAGATCTCTGTGGAGACTGCAGTTAGGATCCTGGACGCGGACGTGGAGATGCATCGCGGTATGGAAAAGGAAACCAACACGGAGCCCGTTGGAGAGGATGACGAGGACCAGGAAGTGGCGGACGTCATGGCGGCGGTGGTGGTTGCTGTGGCGTCCGAGACGCAGTCTGAACCGCGTGAAGAAGAACTCTGTGAAGATGAGGACGACCAATTGCGAGGAGGAGGAGGAGGAGAAGAGGAAGAAGAAGAAGAAAAGCAGCATGACTCGCCCGAAGAGAAGGATCAAGGGACGCAGTCGGAAGAGCTTGAACGAGAAGTTTCTGAAGAAGAGGAAGAAGAACGAGAAGAAACTGTGAAGCCTCGCGATGGGAAGCGGAGTTCTCCTGAGCAGAAGATTAAACGCAAACCTGCCGAAAAGGTGGGATTTCTGTTGTGTCCCTTGAGTTTTGTCTTGTGACTTTGTAACGGTTAGGCATCCAACAAAAAACAGAAAATTAAAATTATGTTTGCTTTGACAAAAATTTCATATTTCCCCCCGGATTTTAAAATTCAAGCGTTTCTTGTGTTTACGTGCCTGTGAATCGCCGTGTACTGTATTCTTTGAATCAGGAATGTTTTGATGTATTTCGAATATTTTCTATTCAAGTCTCGATAACTGACATTCGCGTAAACTTTGTCGGAAGAACTCTCGAAAGTAAAATTGACGTATCGAGAAGATCGATCAGACCGAGACGGCACTATTTTGCTGCTTTCTAGAATGCCGGACAGGTGTCGCCTGCTTGAGTAAATTTACCGAAAAACATAACCCGAACCAAATAACGGAACCTAATTGAATGTTTCTTAACTTAACTTATACCGAAATTTTTTATAGAATCGCATCGAGAAAATCATGGGTTCAGAGAAGTTGGGAATTCGAGTGGAAAGAAACCTGTTTCCCTCCGTTCATCATCAGTATAGTCACATTTTTTGGTGCAACATTCTTGTCTTTTTTCAGTTACGTTTTTCTTTCTCGGCCGATTCTGCGGATCTTTTTTTATTTATTTCAAGAAAACAAAAAGAATCAAATTTAATTTGTTCTTTTCTTTCAAAATTTCCAGAATACATTGTCGGAGACGCAAAAGCCGATCAGCATCACGACGGACCCGGCCAAGCTTGGCCCAGTTTCCGTGACGGTGACGAGTGCGCCACTGGAGGCGGCAGTGGGTGCGCTGTCTGGCGCCGGCGCCGTGCCAGTGTCGCACGTGACATCTCCCAACGTGCTCATTGCGGACAATGTGCAGTCTTTGCCGCCGTTGACGGTGCCTCTGGTGACTGGCGGATTCCCGGGTGTCAACTCTGGCCCGCCGGTCTTGCAGCTCGTCAACACTCTGGCTGGCCCGATGCTCGTGCCGTCGTCGGACGCGTTTGCCGGTCAACGAATTCTGACCCAGGTATACAGAAGTATTTCCGTCCTGGGAAGGAAAAAGAAAACATAGGAAAAGTCTAGAAAGGCTCCAGGGTTCTATTGTTTTGTGATGGTGTATACCTTAATTGCTGACCTAGAGGCAGGAGAATGAATTTTCAATGCAGAGTTGAAAAAAGGTATTTTGAAAATCCTTATCAGAAGAGCGTTCGACAAAATAGCTAATACTTTCGAACCTCTTTGAATCGATTTTCGAAGGACCAGCGAAACAATTCGAGTCGAGGAAACGAGCATTTTTTAAATTTGGGAGAGATGGAAAATTTTCGGGAAATTTTAAATGGTGATTTTCTGGGTAAAAGCCAGAAAAAGTCGTCGAGTTAGTAAGGTTTTTACAGCATTTTTTCCCCAAGGGGAATTCCGACGGATACTCTAAAAATATTGGACTTGCGGAGGTTCGAGTTATTGAGGTTAAACTGTATTAAAATAGCGAGTCTAAAAATGTTAAGTTGGGTCACGTTACCATATTACATTGGAGGTGTTCGCAAATTCCCTTCATGCGATTGGATTATTTTCCGTCTTCACCCGATTCTCAACTGTAATATTAGAAAAATATTATAAAAATATCTGACTGTACACAATTTTATATGTTTTCCAAGTGTGCTTTTTTTTTTAGATTATAAAACGATTTATGCATGAGCTAACTTGCAATTTTGTATTCACGACGAACTTTGAAAAATGTCAAAAGTCACGGCATACTGTTCCGAACATGTTGAAACTTAATACGCATGAGGAAAATATCTGACCGTTTGGAATTTTAACTTGATTTTTTTTTCAGGACAATTGTGGGAAATTTCCTCATTGGCAAAACTCATGAGAGAAAAGCGTAGAATTTGAAATTAAATTATTGCTTTAAGCGCCGTTTCAGAACAACTGAAATTTGCTTACAGGCTGATATATGTAGCTACGTATCAACGGACTCTTTAGGCGCAAGAATCTAAAACCTGCTCTCAAAAATTGGTAAAATCACTTAGAATTCTCGGAATACTCGCTTGGAATTCCAGTTCACGAGTTTGTTGGTACAGTATTGTGACTCGTGCAGTCGTGAGACACCCGTGAATAAAACATGCGAGTTGATCTGAATTTTTTTAAGGGTGTGGATGGAATTATCCCTCAGTCGTTCAATATTTCTTCCGTTTTTTTCTTCTTTTTCTTCTGCTTGAGGCGCAAGAATCTAAAACCTGCTCTCAAAAATTGGTAGAATCGCTTAGAATTCTTGGAATACTCGCTTGAAATTCCAGTTCACGAGTTTTTTGGTATTGTGACTCGTGAGACACCCGTGAATGAAACTTACGAATTGATTCAAATTTTGTAAAAAGGGGTGGATGGAATTATTGCTCAGTCGCTCAATTTTTCTTCCGTTTTTTTTTTAATCTTCTTCGTTTTTTTCTTCTTCTTCTTCTTCTTCTTTAGGTGCCCGTGTCGATGTCGAGCTACTGTTCAGCACTGACAGTCGCCCCGCAAACGAGCCCAGGAGCAGCACAACACAAAACCTTTGTTCCGATCTGCGCCGGACCACCAGAGGGCGCTCCTAGGCCCGCAACTGCGAGTCCCAAGCGTGGCCGAACGAAGCCCAGACAGCGGAAGCGAAACAGCGGCAATAATGACGACCATCATCATCACAATAATCAACAGCAGCAGCAGCAACAACATCATCATCATCAACAACAGCAACAACAGCAACAACAACAACAGCAGCAGCAACATCATCAACAATTGTTGTTGCAACAACAACAAACGCATGCCATTCCGCAACTGAGCACGTCTCCATTTGCCCTTTTCGCCAGTCAGCCGACGATGATTCCGGGCATGCTGCCGTTCCCGACGTTTGCCATTATTTCCAATACTGGGGGAGGGAAGCCGAACACGCAACCCATGATCCTGAGTCCGAATCTCGTCATGCAACCCGTGCAGATGCAAACAGTTGCGTGATTATTTTGTTGTTGTTGTTGTTGCTATTTTGGGAATTGACAAAACCTTGTTTCCATCCCGTTTCTTCTACTTTTTGTTTGATGTACTGCGAATGCGGATAGTTGAAATTTGTTCGTTTCTGTTTCGGAGGAAAGCAATCGTCTTAGTAGTAAGTGGTGAAAAGAAATATTTGAAAGAAAAAATAATAATAATGGTAAAGTAAGTTTCAATTTTTCCTTGAGTTTGAATTTGTGTTGGTTGGTTGCTTTTGATTATTTATTTTTGACGGGCGCAACTATTCAAATAAAATTTTGCCATCAAGTCTAATAAACTAGTCAGTCATCATAATATTTTTTCATGTCTCAGGTTGAAGAGGGAGAATCATAGTACGAATAAAAAATTGAAGAAATTTCTTCGTATCTTCCAGTAAGTGAAATTTGCTTCTATTTATAGGCAAATAAATGAAAGAGCTGTTCAATATTGATATGTAATATTGAATCCTTTTGATTAAACCTTGCTGAACCATTCTTTCTCTCCGTTTCTGTAGGATTTACAGACTCATAAACATAGAATTTATGTGTTTTGAATGAATTTTTCAGTGTAATGCTGGTTTGTAGTCAAAGTTGAGCCTTGAAGTCAATTGAACAAATCATCACCTTTTTCGTCTCAAAGGCACGAAAGTAAGAATCCTGCTTTATGTTCATAGCTTTGATGAGATTAATCTGGTACAGGTGAACCTCAATAAGTCGAACCTCCCCAAGTCAAATTATTTTTCAAGTCCCTGTCTAAATCCACTTAGAATCAATACATTAAAAACCTCCCTAACTCGAATTTTTTTTTCGCTAAAACCTCTGTAAGTCGGATTTTCGGAGGCCTTCTAATTATTATTTCCTTGAAATAAGAAAGAGAAAATGATTAAAACAAATAATTTGATGCATCTTGAAAGGAATTGAAAGACAAAAATAGCAAATGAACCCCTGCCTCCACATTCAGGAAGGTGTAAACTGATTAAGGAGCTAGTTTTGGCCCAGAATATCCTCATTTTGATTTCCAACACTTTTTTTCATTTCTCCTCAAAACAGAAGTGTTTGTATCCTCAACTGTAAACCTCCAAAAAATCAAAACCTCCCTAAGTCAAATTTTTTCCTGGTCCCTAGAAATTTGACTTATAGAGGTTCAACTGTAATTGACACATGAGGAGAATCAACAAACTTTTTCAATTCTCAAGAAATTGAATGTGATGAAAGTGCATCTTCTAATCAATTGTGCCTTTCATTCTGGTGAATACGGTATTTTATTTTTTTAAATGAATACATTTAAAAATGAATACATTTAAAAAAGGAAGTGTTAGGGAAAGTCTTAGATATCTTCCTTGAAATATTGTGAGCTTCGATTTCTGCGTGGTCGAAAGATTCAAAGAGCTATGTGTCGTGTTGCTTCGGATCTTTACTCCGTTTGATTGAAATTTGCTCAAAGATTCTTTCCTTCCGCCCTTTTTTTGTTTGATTTTCTGTACACAGTGTAAAAAAAAAATTGAATTTTAGAGTGGTGTCTAATTGAGTCTTTTGTGATCTTTTAGACGATGCAGCAAAAGTCGGATCAAGTGCCGATCCAACCTGGCCCGTCGTCGCAGCAGCCCGGAGAGGCCATTCACCACCAGCAGCAACAGCAGCAGCCCCTCAACTTCCTGCAGACCTTTTCCATGCAGCCGACTTTCGTGGCAGCGACACCTATGATGGACTTTGCCCGCGTCACGTACACCAACTCGACCCACGGCGTCCTGCCCACTGGCCCGAACCAGCCCGTCATCCAGACCCTCACCAACGGGGGACTGGGCCAGAAGTTTGTCCTGCAACCCGGGATGCGACCCATTTTGCAGGGTGGTCAACAGCACCAGGGCTTGTTCCAGTCCCAGTCGGACGGCGCCGTTTATGTTGCCGTCTCCACGGCGTCCCATATACAGGTGCAGAGCAGCCCGTTGTCGTCGCCGGCGAATGTCAAGTCCAAGGCGTCAAAAAATACCTGAACCTCTCTTTCTTTTTCTTTTTTTCTCTTCGTTTGCACACTTAATTTTATATTGTTTGTGATTCAGGATGTGTTTTGTTTTCCTATAGCTTCTTACTGTCTGCATTGTTGCCAAAATCGCGTTGGAATCTTTTTCTAAAGAATTTTTGCTTCAACTTGAACGTCTTTTAAGAGGGCTTCTGCTTTTCGCAAGTTTCCGTCGTTTTTTTTTCTTTGATGGATCAATATGGTTATTTTTTCGGGATTGTTGGCAAAGTTTTTGAGGAAATCTTCCCCGGCTTTAACTGACCTAGCAGCTACTGGAGGACTCAATCTTTTCGCGACGTTCACGTTGCCTTTTTTAGGATGCAGTTTTTACCATCATAATTGCGGAAATCGATTTGCTGCAATTTTGAAAGATAATTTTTTCCTTCAACCTAAGAGGTCTCAAATGAATAGTTCTGTATCTCCATACGGCAGTGATCCTTTGGATGGTTCTTCATTTGGCCGATTCAATGACGTAATTTTTTTTTTCTTCAGAAATTTGGCCTATATACCTGAGATTATTTGAAACCTTGAAAGAATATATTGAAAATGTTGATAGTTTGGATATCTAAAAGTATGGTAATGCTTTTTAAAGCCTCTGCGTGTAATGAATTACGCTATTCTTCAATTACCGTCGATTCCTTTGCAGAAATTTTTATGAACTGTTTTTGTTTCAATTGAAACCTCTCAGTTTGTGCAAAATACTATGGTATGTTGAATTTTGTTTTTAAGAATTGCATTTTGAGAAGAAATCTCAAAATTCTCTTTCTTGATTATTTTCCAATTTGTATGCTGAGAAGTGAAATGATTTACTAATAGGCATTTCGGCGATGAAATTGTTCTGCAGTTTTTCAGCAAAAGTATTTGCTAATTTTTTTCAACGAGTTGTTGGAAATTTATGAGAATTTTTTCGGGGTTTCAGTATTAATTATAGATCATGCAAAATCTTTGGGGAATGGGAAACCCGTGACAGATCATCCCAGAATTCTCGCAAACTTTTTGGGAGATGGACTGAGTTATGTTTTAAAATTTTTGGGGGTGTGTCACCAATTCATGGATGTCTTTGCTTCTTTTAAAATATTCCGAGTTATTATATCTGCGCAAAAGTGAAAGATTTTCAGCGCTATGTTAACCTATACTCTTGTGACGCGTTTTTTATATCTTTGCGATATCATGCGACCGTTTTTCCAATTTTTTTCCGAGAATTTTGGAAAATGTGGAAGAGAGAAATTGAAAATTTCTGAGAGGCATTTTTCGTTTTGCCACCATTTTGTGAGAACTTGGAATGAATGAGAACCTCCCTCCCTTTTCTCAATCGGATTTCAACTCTACTGACTATACATCATCGTGAAGAGCTTTTTTTTAAAATAAAAATACAACATACGCGATTTCCTCGAGAACAAGTACAGTATGTTTGGAATCTTCCCGCCTCGTTGTGCCAGATTTTTTTCTTTTTCCAAAACTTCGTTCATTCTTCGAGTGTGTCAATGATGTGGGGTGTGAAGAGGCGGGTTAGAGTTTATTTTTTTACGGAACGGAAGCAAACCCGGGATCGGACATGTTGTATTTGAATGTGAGACGGGGAGGAAAAGAGATCGAAAAAAAACTAGTGGACTTTTTTTGTTTGTTTTAGCCCGGTTTTAAGAAGCGCGAGGTTGGAATTCGTAAGTCACCGGTTTTGTTTTTTTGAGCCTAGATGTCGCTCGAAGAATCCCGTTCGGTGTGTTTTTTTTGTTTTTCTATTCGATCAAACATAGTTACCCAAATGAGAAAGTAAACAAGTACTAATCGTCACCGTATATGGTTATAGTATATGCACTTTAAGTCCCTGTGACAAGTTTTGTTTTTTTGTTCGAGAAAAACCGTCCGAATTTACGGGAAACGTTGGAGTTACGCGAGCATTTGTGTTTGTTTGTTTGTTTTCTTCGTCTATGTATTGGGAGGGTGAGAAAAGAACCTCTTTTTGGAAGGTGTGTCAGCCAAGAGAAATGTTGTTTTGTTTGTTTGCTTGTTTGTCCGAATGTTCCCGGGGAATGGATGCGATTTTGTCCTTTTTTGTACTCGAGGAGGGATTTGATGTGGTGGCGCACCGGACGAGCATTTTTTGTGTTTGCGTTTGATTGTTTTTTTCCTATTTGCCCTGATCGATGTACGTTGATAGCCCAAAGAACGAGTCAGGTTCTTACTCGCTAGTTGGTAGACGACACAGTCGAGCGAAATTTTCAGAGTTTAATTGTACAGAGATATTATTTGGAGTAATAAAAAGGGAACGTTTTACCGGCTGGTCACACTGACGAAAAAAAAAACAACGGGACTCGGATTTTTTATTCAGTTTCTTCTATTCTTCTTCTGTGTGGAATACCGAATAATGGACTCATTTTTGCAGAATGGACTTGGACTGCCATCTACCGGTAGTTTTGTTTCGGATTGCGGACCCTCTGGATGTGTTCAAGAGGCAATTGAAATAGGATCATGAGGTAAATGTTCCTGACGTAGGGTTTGGTTTTGTATTGAGCAGTTGTTTCGTTTCTGAATCATTGTGGCTGTTCTACACGTGGATTACAGTAAATATAATACAGTAGTACAGTGAGACCCCAAGGTGCAGACGTAATTGGTGCATCAAGAGTGTCCATAAGACAAGTCTTAGTTTCCCTTAGACTTACATTATATAATTTTTAATTGGTGTTTTGTCTACAAAATACTCACCGTAATTTCATGAAAATAAAAATTTCATCCCAATTTAAACTGATTCCAATCAATATATTTCAACACAATATGGACATTTGGGGAATTGAATGCTGATACCTCTGTACAGTACATAGAAATGTTGGCATTCTGTGTAAAAAACATAATGTGCAAGTGAAAAAGAGTGATGGAAGTCCCTCTCTGCTGGAGGTAATTTTTTAAATTAGCTAAAAGGATGGTAAATTGGTGAGAGAAATGCCCAAGAAATTTTCTTACATCAATTTTAGGGTTGGAAATACAGTATCTGTTTCTTGTAATGTGGCCTGAAATGTATTTGCAATTTTATAACAAAATGTCCCTATGTTGAGTCAGTGTCCTCATGTTGGGCCTTTTTAACTAATTCTTACTGATAAAATAAGACTGCCTATGTTGAATTGGCTGCAGGTTGAGGTGTCTGCATGTGGGGGTCTCACTGTATCTTATGGTAAACATTTTTTGTAGTCAAATGCAAATTTAATGGAGGTTTGTGAGGGGTCCAGGAAGTAGATTAGCCATTCAGACTGGAGCTTCACATATCTCAGTCCATATATGCTTCGGCAATGTAGAAAAGTGCTGCCCAACATACATGGCATGCGGGCCCACTGAGACTTCATCCATCCCGCATTTGCTTCCCCATGATTTTCAAGGTGGTAGCTGCCGCTACATTAAAAAAATGTGTACAATGAAAGATGAATGTAAAAATCTTTTTACAGAATTTTTAGAGGCGTCCAATTGAATTCATGTGATACACAGTAGTTGAAACGAGAGGTGGATTCTTCAGTTCAGAAATTAAATGAAGTCATTTGGTTTTTTCTCAGATCAGGGTTTTTTTCATTTCCTCAATGACACTTGATTCGCGTTTTCTTCGATGCCTGCAAGTTCCCGCACAAAATCATCGAGTTTCGAAAAAAAAATTACAATCGCCCGCGTTCGACAAAAAACAAACATTTCATTTCGACCCGTCTTCTGCACAAGTCAACGCCCAAATTATTACTTCTTTTTTGGCACTTTTTCACAAAATACCGTGGTTTTTCTCCTCTCACTTCTCAAAAAATTTTGAAAAAATTCGTTGTCCGGGTTTCGATTTCGGGCGAAGCGAAGAACATTCTTTCGAGGCGAAAAATGTCCTTTTCTTTTCCGCGTCAATGGAAAAGACCTGACTAGATGTACGACTCGGTCTTCTCTTACAAAATAAAACACAGCACCCAGACGCTGGGCAAATGAGACTTAGAAAAACCATCAACAAAACAAATGCCACCAGCGATTTTCATGACGAGATTCTCACAAACGCATGTTCAAAATTTGCGTCTTTCCCCCGCAAGCAGGAAACATTTTTCAACAGGTAAAAAAAAAGGTCGGAACACAATGCTGAATGATTTTGTCAAGATTTAAGAAAAAAAGAGGACTGGCCATTGAAAAAAAAATCGAATAAATGAAGAAGAAATTGGAAGGGATTCACTATCTTGAGTAACTCATCAGCAGTGTGACATCTTGAGGAAGGACTCATAAAAAGCATTCCCTCTCCCCTATACCGTGATCAATTCTAAAATTATTCAGAGGAAAATACTGAATTATAATTTTAAAGTGAATTGATTAGGTTTTTTGGAGTAGAGAATTTTCTTAAATTATCCAAAAACAAAAAGAGGAAAAAAAATCATCTGGGGAACATTGACAGCCACTAGCTTATTTGGCAGTGACATCTAGGAGAAAGTCTCACAAAATGCATGTCCCTCTTCTACTTGAAAATTTCTTATAAGAACTCTGTTCTAAATCCTCTTCTTGAGAAAAAAAAAAGAAGAAAAAACTGACCAGAAGTTGAAGAGGGTAAAAAACGATTGAAAGCAAGAGAAGGAACACTTCTGGTGAGCATATTGAGCAGCGACATCTCTGAGAACGCCTCTTGAAACCCGGAACACAATTTTGATTCGAGTTCCTTTCTTCTTTTTTTTTCCCCAGAGCAAAGAACTGGCCGAGGTTAAAAAATAAATTACTGTACTTCGAAAAAGGATCCCCTTTTCATTTTGTTTTTCACGGTTGGCAACCACCAGCCGTGTGCTTGTTGAGCAGCGACATCCTGGAAAACGTTTTCCCGCAGGAAGAGCAAGAGTACTTTTTCACTTCTTCGTGGGTTTGCAGATGCGCTCTTAGATTCGACCGGTCTGCGAATGCCCGACCGCATTGAGAGCAAGAAAACGGCTTCTCGCCCGTGTGCGTTCTCAAGTGGCCCTGCAACAACCAGGGTCGGGAGAAGGCTTTCCCACAGAGGTCGCACTTGCATGGCAACGTGTGCGTCCGGATGTGCATCTTGAGTGCCCCGAGGCTCACGTACGCCTTCTCGCAGAACTTGCAGGAAAAGTTCTTGGCCTGCGTCGAGGGATCAATGGTAGTGGTGATGGGCGACGGGGAAAAGGAGGCAGGGTCGCAATGCAGCGATTTGTGCTTCGCGAGACCGTTGAGCGTTGAGTAGGACTTGGCACAGATGTCGCAGGTGAACCGCTTGGACTTGGTGGACTCGTCGGAGGATTCGCAGCTGGTGGCGCCGCTGGCAGGGGAGAACGGGGTGAAGGCGGACTCGGGGCGTCCCGGGGATACGAAGTCGGGGGGTGAACAGCTTTCTGCGTAACAGCCGCCGTTGGTGGCGGCGGCCGCCACGTGGAACCCGTCGTAAGTCGGTGGTGCTGAGCGTTCTAGCTTATTGACAGCATGGACGCCACCTCTGTGCATATCTGCAAAAAGAAAAAAAGAATTCAATTAAGCCACAGTTCTTTCAGTTTTCACATTTCTTATTTTCTAACTGGAACATATCCTTGAAATTCGTATTCTGAATAATATTACAATTTAAATTTTGAATATTTTCACCATTTAAACTTGGAATATTTTTCAAATTCTGCATTTGAATATTTTTCAAATTCTGCATTTGAATATTTTTCAAATTCTGCATTTGAATATTTTTCAAATTCTGCATTTGAATATTTTTCAAATTCTGCATTTGAATATTTTTCAAATTCTGCATTTGAATATTTTATAAATTCCACATTATTTCACCTCATAAGCCTTTTAGAAATCCCTCTTTTGATTTAACTGGCTGTTTGGAAATATATTTCGGAATAATATTCTTAGAGCATCACATTCCCTTTCAAAACCATGGTTACAAGTAATTTGTATTACTGAAGGGTTTCAACTCAAGGCCCAACTTGGTGATTTTCTTGGTCATTCTCTGCTATCCCTCTTATTTATTTCACTTACATTTATGAAAAATATTAAATGGATTTACAATATTACAAATATCACTTTCCTTGATCAATTGCATGCTTTAATGTGTGCAAATAGTTAGGAGGCAATTGTGGGCATTCTAAATTCTGCAGATTTGTAAAGTTTTCTTCTGAACACTGGATTTCCAAGAAATTAACTTGTATTCAAAAATACAGGTACACTTTCCACATTTTCTTTTTAACAATCCCAAAAAGAATAATGGGAATATTTTTCTTTACCTATTGAAAATTGAGTAATATTCAAAAATGTGGAACACTGCAGGAAAATCATGAGAAGTATATTTTTTCTTTTTCAGTGAATTTTCTGTTGTGCTTGAAAAATTAATTAATACTTGTATGAACATTAGTATGTGTCCCCAAGAAGGTGCAGAAAAGATGACGAAATGTATGTATTAAATTATATGGCAGAAACTGACCCCCTCACAAAAACAGTGCAGCAATAAGAACAGGCGTCGACGGAAACTCACCGTAATTCCGCTCCGGGTAGATGACGCTGCCTGCCACTCTTTCCGCAGCCGGATTATGATACAACTGAGTGTACATGTCGAAGGTCGGGTGGCGCAGGAGGGAAATGCGGTCCAGGAACTCGGGCGCAAAGGGCGGCATTGGCACGGGGACCGGACACGCGATTTTCGGCTTGGAGAAGTCGACTGGCGCCGCCACTGCTGCAGCAGTCGCCGTGGCGTTCAAGTGGCGGCCGAAAGGAAGATGATTCGACCGATGACTGCCGGTGAATTCCTTATTGTTGTTGGTCTTGAGCCGCAAATCCGCGGGGAACACGTCCTTGTTCTCCTCGTCCGAGTCCCGGTATTCTCGCACGGAACACGTTTCGTCTTCGTCGGAACGGTATTCTTTCTTGAGTGACAAATTCTCTGCAGGAGACATCATATTCAACTTGGTTAAAATCACTCTCTATATATATACAGACACATTCCGAATATCGGTGATGTTTTAAACTCGGGTTGAATAGAATCGAACACCAAAATTTCCTTTTTGACGATTGATAACTTAGTATAAGATCACAGCGACAGGTGTCGCCTTCAGGACAGAAACCGAAATCAATCTGAATTTCACATGCATGTCGAAATAGTTATAAAATCTATAAAATATCTCAACGCGACACTTGTTGAATGAAAATGAAAATCACGGAATCAGGACATGATTCGTCCACTCTGATAATCTTCCCCCAAAAGTCTCACATAAATTTAATCTGAAATTTCTTAAATATTATCAGGTTCGATTCAATCGAATAAATAAATAGGAAAGCCGAATTTGCACGATTTGATTANTGAAGAGGGTAAAAAATTATGGAAAGCAAGAGAAGGAACACTTCTGGTGAGCATATTGAGCAGCGACATCTCTGAGAACGCCTCTTGAAACCCGGAACACAATTTTGATTCGAGTTCCTTTCTTCTTCTTTTTTTTCCCCCCCAGAGCAAAGAACTGGCCGAGGTTAAAAAATAAATTACTGTACTTCGAAAAAGGATCCCCTTCTCATTTTTTCTTTTCACGGTTGGCAACCACCAGCCGTGTGCTTGTTGAGCAGCGACATCCTGGAAAACGTTTTCCCGCAGGAAGAGCAAGAGTACTTTTTCACTTCTTCGTGGGTTTGGAGATGCGCTCTTAGATTCGACCGGTCTGCGAATGCCCGACCGCATTGAGAGCAAGAAAACGGCTTCTCGCCCGTATGCGTTCTCAAGTGGCCCTGCAACAACCAGGGTCGGGAAAAGGCTTTCCCACAGAGGTCGCACTTGCACGGCAGCGTGTGCGTCCGGATGTGCATCTTGAGTGCCCCGAGGCTCACGTACGCCTTCTCGCAGAACTTGCAGGAAAAGTTCTTGGCCTGCGTCGAGGGATCGATGGTAGTGGTGATGGGCGACGGGGAAAAGGAGGCAGGGTCGCAATGCAGGGATTTGTGCTTCGCGAGACCGTTGAGCGTTGAGTAGGACTTGGCACAGATGTCGCAGGTGAACCGCTTGGACTTGGTGGACTCGTCGGAGGATTCGCAACTGGTGGCGCCGCTGGCAGGGGAGAACGGGGTGAAGGCGGACTCGGGGCGTCCCGGGGATACGAAGTCAGGGGGTGAGCAGCTTTCTGCGTAACAGCCGCCGTTGGTGGCGGCGGCCGCCACGTGGAACCCGTCGTAGGTCGGTGGTGCTGAGCGTTCGAGCTTATTGACAGCATGGACGCCACCTCTGTGCATATCTGCAAAAAGAAAAAAAAAGGATTCAATTAAGGAACAGGTCTTGCAGTTTTCACGTTTTCGATTTTCTAACGGGAACATATCTTTGAAATTCGTATTCTGAATATTATTTTAATTTACATTTTGAATATTTTCATAATTTAAACTTAGAATATTTTCATGATTTAAACTTGGAATATTTTCATGATTTGAATTTGGAATATTTTTCAAATTCTGCATTTGAATATTTTATGAATTCCACATTATTTCATTTCATAAGCCTTTTAGAAATTCCTCTTTTGATTTAACTGGCTGTTTGGAAATATTTTTCGGAATAATATTCTTAGAGCATCACATTCCCTTTGAAAAACATGGTTACAAGTAATTTTTATTACTGAAGGGTTTCAACTCATCAAGGTCCAACTTGGTAATTTTCTTGGTCATTCTCTGCTATCCCTCTTTCACTTACATTTATCAAAAATATTAAATGGATTTACAATATTACAAATATCACTTTCCTTGATCAATTGCATGCTTTAATGCGTGCAAATAGTTAGGAGGCAATTGTGGGCATTCTAAATTCTGCAGATTTGTAAAGTTTTCTTCTGAACACTGGATTTCCAAGAAATTAACTTGTATTCAAAAATACAGGTGCACTTTCCACATTTTCTTTTCAACAATGCCAAAAAGAACCATGGGAATCTTTTTCTTTACCTATTGAAAATTGAGGGATATTCAAAAATGTGGAACACTGCAGGGAAATCACAAGATTTTTTTTTCTTTTTCAGTGAATTTTCTTTTGTGCTTGAAAAATTAATTAATACTGTATGAACATTAGTATGTGTCCCCAAGAAGGTGCAGAAAAGATGACGAAATGCATGTATTAAATTATATGGCAGAAACTGACCCCCTCGCAAAAACTGTGCAGCAATAATAGAGGCGTCGACGGAAACTCACCGTAATTCCGCTCCGGGTAGATGACGCTGCCTGCCACTCTTTCCGCAGCCGGATTATGATACAACTGAGTGTACATGTCGAAGGTCGGGTGGCGCAGGAGGGAAATGCGGTCCAGGAACTCGGGGGCAAAGGGCGGCATTGGCACGGGGACCGGACACGCGATTTTCGGCTTGGAGAAGTCGACTGGCGCCGCCACTGCTGCAGCAGTCGCCGTGGCGTTCAAGTGGCGGCCGAAAGGAAGATGATTCGACCGATGACTGCCGGTGAATTCCTTATTGTTGTTGGTCTTGAGCCGCAAATCCGCGGGGAACACGTCCTTGTTCTCCTCGTCCGAGTCCCGGTATTCTCGCACGGAACACGTTTCGTCTTCGTCGGAACGGTATTCTTTCTTGAGTGACAAATTCTCTGCAGGAGACATCATATTCAACTTGGTTAAAATCACTCTCTATATATATACAGACACATTCCGAATATCGGTGATGTTTTAAACTCGGGTTGAATAGAATCGAACACCAAAATTTCCTTTTTGACGATTGATAACTTAGTATAAGATCACAGCGACAGGTGTCGCCTTCAGGACAGAAACCGAAATCAATCTGAATTTCACATGCATGTCGAAATAGTTATAAAATCTATAAAATATCTCAACGCGACACTTGTTGAATGAAAATGAAAATCACGGAATCAGGACATGATTCGTCCACTCTGATAATCTTCCCCCAAAAGTCTCACATAAATTTAATCTGAAATTTCTTAAATATTATCAGGTTCGATTCAATCGAATAAATAAATAGGAAAGCCGAATTTGCACGATTTGATTAGTGAGGACATCTAAAGGTGGGAATTTTGCACGGGAAACATGAAAATTCAAAAATATGCTAAGAAAAAAATGAAGTCGACAAAACTTTGAAGATGGTTAATTTGTTCATGTGACACTGAAAAATCTCGAAAAGGCGTACGGAAAAAAAATCACTGGAACTGTATGAACCCATATTTTGTGGCCTTATTTTTTCTTCTTTTTCATTCACAGAGAGTTTAGTATAGGCCACATAATCTAATAATTGTGGCCTATCCTCTAATACTGTATGTTGATGGCTCAGTTTTATCTGGAGGAAACAATGAAATAAAAACGACCTGTCATCGCTGAAATGATCGCAGTTCTTTCAATCGATGATTTAAGCGACACCTACTTGACGCTGGGACTCAACTTTTCCACCCGTACTCGGATTTCAACACCCAACATTCATAAAAATTGTAGACATAAATGAGCTGAATAAACTCACGTGGTTCGTCAACATCTTCAGGAAACGTATCACATATCAGGCGATACGGACGTTTTTTCAGTGGGCAATTCTCGTACCCGGCGAGGCGGGCGAAATGCATAGATGTCGCCAACGGCATGACGATTAGAAAATTCGCGTTTGCTCACGCGCGTACAAAAATGTTTTACCAAAATTGACTCGTTTAAAAATTTTTGATTCAAAAATTCTGTAAGTCGGAAAAATAGGGATGAAGACGGGATTAAACCACTGATGGTTCACAGTTTACAAATTCAAGAGATCATCCTCGGCGCGAAAAAATGTCGCATTCCACGAATCGTTGGACACTTCACACACTCACAGAAGTCCGTTGCCTGAACTATCACACACAGACACCAGTGGGGATCAACGTTTAATTCGAAGAGTGAACGCTGCGTAGTCACGCTCACACAACACTGTCTTTCGAAGGAGAAAACTGGATGCGTCGCTGGAAAAATTCACGAATGTACCACTGCTGTTGAGTTTCTTCTGAATACGAATTTTGCAGTGATTCCTAACATTTCCGACCACTTCACGCACATTCGCATGATGTACCTCAGTGTCGACACGAATTTCAGCGTGATCCCTGAGGCCGTTCGTACGTCCGTTCCGCGCGGACGTCGACGGGGGAATGAGTGCGGAGGCTGAGTCGCGCGTCAGACCAAAGCTGGAGATCACCCTCCCCTCACTCAGCTTCTGCAGTGGCTCCCTCTCACTCCTGAAATACGTAGACGGAAGCAGGGGATGCTGCAGTGACTGGAGGGGCCACTTCGCAGTAGTGTACAGTTGTTTCCGGGATGACTAATGTCCTGCTGGCAGAATGTATTTTTTTCGCACATTGGACTCGTGCTCCAAAAGTGTGTAGATACTGTGCATGCATTATTTTGGTGTGAAGTAGCAGACCCTCATTAGAGTGATAGTGCATTATAGTTATACCTTTTCAGGTAAAACTATAATGTACATAATCACAATGTTATTGGGTCCTGACACAATGTTCAGCAGGACCCAAAAATGCAACTTGAGTTGGTGAAAATTACACCTTGAACAGTATTTAATTGCATGAAAATTACAGTGAAGTTTTTTTTTCAATTGAGGAAATGATGTGGTATGTTTCATACTCATGCAAGGAAAACTCTTCCAAGATAAAAGTTCTCTGTCAAAAAATGCATCACGCTTGAGTCTTACAACTTACAATGTTTTTTAACTACAGTACTTGAATGATAAAGTAATCTAATTTAACACTTATTTAGCCAGCAATCATATTTTAACATTTCCCACATTCTTCAATTTGTGAATACTACAGTCAGTACAGTGCATGTCTTCTCCACATATGGATTGCTTTTTTTTAAAGAATAAATCAAGCAGGTGTGCCCATCTTGATAGTCACATTTAACATGTATTCATTTAATAATTTAAAAAATATATTATGAAATACATTTCCATAATGAACAAAATTTTGATCATTCATCTAATAGCTTCACACAACTTACTCCCGCGCTTGTTTTTTGCAGTCAGGAACCAATTACAGTAGTTATGATATAACTTCAGTAATGTATTTATTACTTGACACAATTTTGCCTAATGCATGTGCACTAGTTCTATTAACATTTTTTGATGGAATACAAATCAGACAGACGCAATTTCCCCGAATTATTGGAAAACAAAATCTTGTCTTTTTCGTACATGGGGACCAGCAAATTTGAATTATGAATTGCTTTGTTTGCATCTGAAGGCGTCACCTTGTAGTGATGCTACAGTTTTTGCATTCACCCTTCTCCGAAACTTGTCCTTCGGAATTCAGATTTTAAAATGCTTTTTTTCATCATGAAATATCCCTTGTATTTCAGCCTGGGATCGACTTTGTCAAAGTGGCGCTTCGTTGGTGCAGCCAGCTGCAGATTGCAGGCAGATGAACGCGTCCACTTCGGAGCGCCCCGCCTGTCTAACTCCCTCAAGGATATGAGCGACATCTGTCGTCGCGTCTCGCCTCACAACTGCCACCAGCCGCGCGCGCGTCAGGTGTGCCGGTTTTCTTCCCGTACATAGAAAAGCACGTGCTGCTTTTCTTCTTCTTCTTCCCTCTTCTTACCCCCCCCGCGGGAACCACAGAACGAATGCGCCATTTGCCGGGCGCCGCCTCCTTGCAAGAAAACACCGTCCTCATAAGGGCCAATTATTAAACTCGATCTCGCAGATGTTGTGCTGTGTGTGTGTGCCGCCGGCAGATGGGCTTTGCTTCGCCCCCTTCGGCAAGGATACGCGGTGTCCAGAAGCAGCGCATCAGGCACCAGACTGTCGATAATTTTTTTTATTGTGACACAATGATCACGCCATCCATTGGCCCTTTTGTCTCGGAATTTACTTTGCCAATGAAACAATTGTTCCTCTCAAGCAGTCAGCGTAGTTTGACTGAATGGAATTATTTTTTTTGTTTGTCTCAAGACAAAGGGGGGTTTGAATTTGTGAGAAGTCATTGCCCTTTTTGGACAAGGAGGGATGAAACTTTTTTTTTTCCAACTGAGATGAAGTAGGACCACAGCAATGAATACAGTATTATGGTATTCATCCTTTACAGTGGATCTTTATATATATTCAGGTGTTATTCTGCTTTGAGAATAATTTATAACTTTCAATAGTCACAAAAGTCTATACTAAAATCTTCTTAAAAGAACACCATTAATTTGGTCCTTAAAATTCATTACAGCTGAAATGAGCTTGAATGAGGACCCAATAACATTGTGATTATGTACATGAATCAATCAGCTTAAATGATACAGTATATGGAAAATTTCATTAAATTTAGATGTAATATATCAAACAATACCAAATTATAAATACAGTAACTGGTCTTTCATGGAACTCCTTTAACCTATTCACCAACTTTGTCTTGATCAACATATACGATGAATATGACTACAGTATACAGTATTTTTTGAATTGCAAAGTTGTCAAATTGCTAGACACCTAGTGAAATTCAAAAACATAATTTCCCAATTTCAAAATAAAATAGCCAAAGCAGGTCAAATTTTGGCGCAAGGGTCAAATTTCAAGTCAACCTCCCTGCAAATTCAACTGTCAAATTGAGGTATGGTCAAATTGCAGGAGGATGAATTGCGAGGTACCACCTGTAGATAGTTTATCACATAGTTCTTAAAATATTAATTTTAATAGTACAGTACAATGTTTTGATAATACTGTACCACAGATTAACAAATGGCAAAAATTTAGTTTAAAAATTCCAGATCAATCAATCAATATTAACAACAGTAGAGCCAGGAATCTCTATTCAAATGAGAAAATAACTGGTTGCCCTTCTTAAAATAATAAGATGTAGAAAAATTATCAAACACTATATTAATATACCAACATTTCTTCAACAAAACACAATATCTCTAAATCTCTTGAATTGATTTTCCTCATATTCCCCCTAATCTTTGGGCATAAAACCAAGTAATCATCACTGGAAGGAATCAATGAAGTTCAGTTATATTTATTTTGAATTGAATTGAACAGCAAACTTTATTTTCCGCTTTTCAGCATTCACAAGGTTCAAGCAACATTCCTGCATCTGAACCCCCTGTGGCAGAATAATTTGGCATGTTACCGTACCGTACATCTATCCGCAATTTTCTACACTTAATCTTGAACATTTGAGAACTTTCTCATGTTTTCTACAGTTTTCTTGGAGACCAAATGCGCCGCCATGTCATGGGATGTTCTGAGTCAGTACATGGAGAGATTTCATTGAGTCAAGTCATTGATTTGCTTGTGATTATTTTTACTGTGTGAATTTGTGAAAGATTGGTTTGTGTTGGGGTTAAAAGAAATACATCTTATCTTCTTCTTTGGGATCTTGAAAACAAGATCCCTGGCTGAACCCCACAGCTGATTACGGTGTTTCATTTCAAATTCCGCACACCTTTTGTATCAGTTTGGGTACACCCCCTTCCCCTCCCCAACCACATTCATCCTAACACATTCCGTCACATTAGAATGGAAAACAGAGAAATTAGATATATATGGATATTAGGATATTAAAAGAAAAGAAAATACAGTGGCCCCCCGCCTAACAGACCTCCCGTGTAAGGGATTTTTGCCAAACAGACCAGCTCTGCAAACAGTTTTTCCTCCCGCCCAACAGACAAAATCCGCCAAACAGACTTCTTTTGGTTTAAAATTAGTGTTGAAAATTGAAATTTTTTAATTTTTATGTAATTGAATTTGTGTAAAGGACTTTTTGTCTAACAGACTCGCCCCTTGCACAAATCAAGTCCGTTAGATGGGGGTTGACTGTACATCTCAAAATGTATTTATTTGGTAATTCTTTGGCCTTTTGGGTGGAATTTACCAGATGCCTGGCTATAATTGGAATAATTTTTTCAAAGTTTGCCTGAAATCTGAAGGTGCACTACACCCCAACTATACAGACACTCAAGTTCACTGACTCTCCTGAAGCTATTCTGCCTCCATGCTGAGCAGGGGTTTCTTCCTTCCTTTTTGAAATGGGGGGGATTCCTTTAGAGACCCTGTTTACCAGCTCCAGAGTTGTTTGGACAGGGCGACAGGAAGAAGTCTTCCCTGTTTTGCACATTTCCGACCAGAGACACGTGCCTCCAGCAGCAGATGCCGNAAACACCGTCCTCATAAGGGCCAATTATTAAACTCGATCTCGCAGATGTTGTGCTGTGTGTGTGTGCCGCCGGCAGATGGGCTTTGCTTCGCCCCCTTCGGCAAGGATACGCGGTGTCCAGAAGCAGACTGTCGATAATTTTTTTTTATTGTGACACAATGATCACGCCATCCATTGGCCCTTTTGTCTCGGAATTTACTTTGCCAATGAAACAATTGTTCCTCTCAAGCAGTCAGCGTAGTTTGACTGAATGGAATTATTTTTTTTGTTTGTCTCAAGACAAAGGGGGGTTTGAATTTGTGAGAAGTCATTGCCCTTTTTGAGCAAGGAGGGATGCAACTTTCTTTTTTTTCAACTGAGATGAAGTAGGGCCACAGCAATGAATACAGTATTATGATATTCATCCTTCACAGTGGATCTTTATATATATTCAGGTGTTATTCGGCTTTGAGAATAATTTATAACTTTCAATA